CTCTCTCTCTCTCTCTGTGCCTCTCTGCTAGTAGCTAGCTCTCACAATCTCGCTCTCGCTAGCTCGCTCTCTGTTTTTCAGTATCAGAAGAAGCTCGGAAAAGGCTGTAACTTCCTATCATCAAGCGCGGATGTGCCTTTCGCATGGGCAAACGAGTCCAGATGAGTGCAAAGCATGCAAGCACGCAACAGTAACATGATGTTGACATCTGCTGCGTGTAGCATCAGCACTCGAGAGCTAACAGTGTATACATGCAAAGCACATATGTGCGTAATTGTGCGTAAGTACGCGGCACGTGCCGGCATTGCATGGTCTGCATCGAAGGAAGTTATATTCGGTCTTCTCTTGGAGGCTCCAGGGGGCCGAGACCGCGGCTTTGCGCCAGCGGGCGACGGAGGCGAAGCGTCAGCTCCTGGAGGCGACTTCTTTTCGAGAGAAGTCTCCCCGTTGGGGCGGGGATCCTGGAATCTCTCGCGATGGCTCAGGGTGCGAAGGGCTGGGTGGCCGGCATCGAGCACCAGGCGCAAGACTGTTGCAGCATGCGGCAGTCGATCGGCAGTCGATCTGCATGGAACTATCGTCGTACCGTAGCCATTGAGACAAAGATCCCCTGGGCCGCTTCGACAAGCCTTGGCTTCACAGTCTGCATTCGAACACCTCACAGGGTTGTTCGTCACCACAGTAGTCCCACAGTTTGCAGTCAGCAGGCAAAGAGCCCGCAGCTTGCGCAGCAAGCCAAAGAGGCAGGTGATCAGCTGGAAAAGCCGCATGCTTGCAGACAAGCTATACTTGCCGCCAACTCGTGAACTAGGATGGAGTTGCAAAGGTTCCAAATTGAGCTTTGGCTGCGAAGGTCCGAACAGCCTGTAGAACTCTCGAACAATCGCATAAGATTTCGTGAGCACCGGGCATTGACATCCCAGAAGAGAGATGAAGAGAGAAATCCCAGAAGATTGCAAAGCCGCAAAGCCTCTTCTGTGTTCCAGCACTCCGGGGCTCGGGTCCGAGGTCGCTTACTGCCGCTCTCAGCGAAGCGACTCAGCGCACGGCGGAGGCCGGGAACGTACCTGCGACACTATGACCATCTATCTGCGTCGAAAGAATAGACCGGAGTTCTCGTAATGACTGCCGTCCATTCGGATGGATCTTGAGCCCAAGAAGCCCTGTGAGGAGGTGTAAAGTGCGGTGAACTTTGGATAGGGAATCCCTGATCCGAGTCGTGAGCCGGCTTTTGGACCGAGCAGCCCTGTCCCTCAAACGCAGCGTCACAGGCCTCCATGCATCGCGCGGCAGAGCGTCGCGCCCTGCTTACGGGCATCCTTTCGCAGGCGCGGTCGCCCTTCCAAGCTATGCTAAGCTGTTGACTGATATCAGGGTTCCGGATGCAGGAATTGCACCTCTGATTAGAAAAATCGTTCTCATCAGTATGGTTCATGTGGCTGTGCTTGATCGCTGCCGTTCTTGTCATCCGGCACGAAGGCTGCCGACATGGCATCGCCCGCCCAGACAGATGATGAAGCTGAGGAGGCGAAAGAGAAGGCAATCGGCGGCAAGCTTCAGCGTTTTTTGGTATATTCCGATATATCTTGAGTTGATGTGGGTGGGAGCATGAATGAAGTTGAATGAGGGTTCAAGAATGATGGAAGACGCACAGACTAGGCAACGTAGGCAACAAGTGGGCCTCGTCATGGTAAGTGCCTTTCGAAAGATGGCAGCACTTCTGGGTAAGTGGATACCTCTGCAGGCGACTCCCGAGTCCTTCGTCGAGAGGCCATGCTGCGACATGGTGGTAGAAACATTTCAAGCAATGCAAGGTGCAGATGTAAGAGACTTGTGAGAGATCTTCGATTCCAAGAGGTCCACTCCGACCACTCCGCTCCTTGAGCCCAAGATGAAGGCTCCGGATTCAGGGTTGCAGTGCAAGTCCATCCTGAGTGAAGCGGAGAGAAGTGCCATGGCTGTAACATCCTTCCTGAGCCACGAGGCAGTTTCGGGAGAGCTGCTCCTTGCCGGTGTCTGCGTGGTGGGTGCGCTTTGTCCGAACCCCAGCACACTGTCAGCAATGATATGTCAGCTTGTTCGCTCTGCGCGGGCCTGTCAGCCTTGGCGCATCCTTTCACGAGCGAACTGCGCTAAGATGGCCTCGTCGGTTTCGCTCTTCGCCGCCGAACGGCTCCCAGATCGCCACTGCCTCAGGAAGTGCGAGGGTGAGTTTCGGGGCGCGATGTGTCGACCTTGTTTCCTGCTCCCCAAACTTGCAAATTCAAGCGGACTAACCAGGACGGCCACAATCCGATCGATCCAACTCACAGCGAGCTGGTTAAGAGTTTCATTGTGCTCAGGGACTCGCGGGACATCGCGCTGCTGACGATGGCCTGAGTCGGCTTGTGCTGGCCTCAGCTTTGAGGCGTATGCACTTCAGGCGAAGGGGTGTATCAACCTCTTCGACGAGCATGCAGCTCATTTGACGAGACGTGCGTGTGTGTTGCTCCCTCACACTTGCATATGACTCCTGCAAGCTTTCGCCGAGGTGAACCGAATGGTACGTCTGATTTTTGCAGTGATGTTCGCTGAGTTAAGCGCTGTGCCAGTGTCGTGTTCGGTGCAAGGGGCTGCTACACCAAGCATGCTTCATTCACGTGGGAGGACTCATAAAGGCTTCCATCATCCATCGGTCACCTGGAACGTACTACGATAGGGATCAGAGCCGCGATAGCGCCCAACCCGGTGTGCATGCTTCACACGAATTCGGGTGCAGCATCAAGCTTGCGAAGCTGCGCTGTTCTTTCGAGTAAAGTGAGCATACTGCATGGCTCTTTGTGCCAGCAGAGGTCGTAGAGTCGATTCATTTCAAGACCAAGACCTGGTTGTGTGCACGAGCTGCAGAAACTGTCATTATGTCTTTACATCTTCGCAACTCTGAGCACACAGCCTCTCTTGACCAGCAGAGTGCTGAGATTCATTGCGTGCTGGCAACAATGTTCAAAAAAGTTCAACATGATGCAGATTCATGGCACGAAACCACTTCTGAACGCTTGTATGTGATGCGCTTTATGACATCGCGGAACTATTTCGTGCCAATGCCTCCAGCCAGATAGGATCGTGTGTGGCGACACGGGTTTCCACCAGCCTGCTGCCCTTGGGTCCGAGGCTTATCCTAGCTTCTGGATCCTCTGCTTCAGATGATCGTCTTCGGTTCCTACAATGCTACAACCTAGGGCCAGAAAGGGTTCAGCAGCAGGAGCTTGCTGCAAGCAAGGACCTTCAGATCTGCATCGCACGTCCTTGCTGCTTGTGAACCTGCTGGCAAAGCCAGCTTAAACAACAGCATCAGAAAAGTGTGCGATCATGATGAGAGCTGTGGGGCTTGTGAGCATAAAAGTTGCAAGACACTTCGTGGTAAATGCTTGTACCCAGTCCTTGCATAGCGCATCTTCGAGATATCTTCCTGGGACTGGTAGCTGCAGGCGTCAGTCTGCTCATGAAAGATCTTCCGTCAAGAAAGAATGCCAAGACCCGCTGCACTGAAGACAGCGCCAGGGTTCCCCAAAAAGTCTAACAAGAGCATTGGCGCAATGGCGCGCTTCTGTCACTTTCCCTGCGCAGCCTTCGGTGCATAGTCGGCATTTCGAGCCAGCACTGCATGCCTTCAACTTTTGAGAAATATGCGGCCCACCAAGGAGAGCTCCTTGGTAGGGTTAGGAAATCAGGTGACCTCTTATGCGTCCCTTTGGGTGGAAACAGACTCTCTTCCCCTTCGGGTGCAGCTTCCTTCACGACAGAAACATTCGTACGGCTTGCGCGGAAGTCAGTTTCCAGCATCTGGCTCCAAAGTGGACCGTTCAACTTTAGCCGGCAAAAGATGCCCAGTGCTGCCGTCCTGGGGTGTGTAGCATCAGGGCTGAACTTCTCCGGTCGCTGATGTTGTTACGAGAGTGTTTTCTTTTCAAGTTTATTCGCGGGATGTCTCGAGGATGATGGCCGTTTGGGGTTAACAGGTTAATCCGTGATTTCTGTGGCTCGACAGCCTCCGGCCGCTCTAGCGACGGTCGGCGTCAATGTGGCGTGGCTGCAGCTGGCGGGAGCGGTGCGTTGTTTGACTCCAGTTCAGAGCAGACATTGTCCTGCGACCGCTTCGAAGTTTGCCTTGGTTTGCGTCGACTCAGACCAAGGAAGAGGACGGCCTCCTTGCTTGGAGGCAGGGGGCAGTGCTCGTAGCATTCCACGGCGAGCCTTTGAACTGCCCAATCCGCACACACCGGGCCGGGAGCTCTGAGTTCAAGCTTGATGCGCGGGTCCAGCCTTACTCAGTCCATGGCAATGTGTAGCAGTGACAGGTGTAGTGGGTAGGTTGTAGGAGCACGATGAGTCAAATCAGCCTTCTTCCTTATGAAAATTTGCCCATGCAGCCATTGCGGTTTGAAGAAGGGTTCCGAGTAATGAGCTCCGGAACCGCAAATTTTGCAAAATTCAAGTTACTAAATGGTTGGGGCGTAGGATGACTATTGTTCTGTTGAAAACACCACAGAAAAAGTGGGACAACTAATACACAAACAAAGGACATCACAACCAACACAAAAGTCAAGTTACTAAATGGCACAGAAGCTCAGCTTAGACTTTGAACTGTCAGTTGAGAAAATAGGGTGAAGGGCTCTGAGGGTTTGAGAGGGCGTATGCGCTGGACGACTCATAAACTTGAGTTGTTCATTTACTCAGGATTGTCGTTGGGATCTGCACATTGACTCATGCTGTTGGGATGTACTTGACAGCCTCTTGCACTTTCGAGAAGTACCTGACAGTCTACTTGTGCTGTTGACCTGTATTGGACAGGCTACCTCAGGCATGAAGCAGAGTTGTGTCGGATTATCGGATTCAGCGAGGCGGTTTGGGTTTTTGCTGACATCATAAGGCATGTATATAGGTAGGGAGCGAAGGGGGGATACATATGCAGGCTTGGCCATGCACGCATGTACTTGACTTAGGTAGGCATGCATACACATTCGTCTGAGTGTGCACATGTTGCTCCAGCACGTTGCTTCGCAAACTTGTCTGACCAGGCATTGGTTCTGCCAGGGTCTTGGCTTCCAAGGCTCTCAGGTCTTCCGAAGTCGCAGTGGCCAGTCGATCCGCCCCAGTTTTCTGAGGCGCTTGCAGTGGCCCTCAGCGCGGACGCCAGTTGCCTACGCAGACGATACGTTGCACCGAAGATTGGATCCTGCACAAGTCTGTGCCGGCACACGGCGGGAACGAACGTAACTAGAGAAGTGCAAAAACGCTGACCATAAATGGTTCGCCTGTCCAGTCTCTCGTCACGTGCATTGGGAGGATGCGGGGCCAAATCACTGAGGCGACAGGTAACGACTGCCCATGTTCGACGCAGGCAGGGTGCGGATCGGTGGCGTGTCTTGACGTGTCTTGTGCCCGTCGGACTGCTGGGGTTCGTCAGACAGTCCTGGTGCAGGCTGCAGCAGCGGCTCAGCAGTCCCTGTTTGGATCCCTACAAACCTACCTTCGCACCCGCATGGTGTACAGCCTGTAGAATCACAGAGACAGCATCGGCACCAGTTTGAATCGGCCTTGTCCGTTTCTTCGCTTCCGAGGCTTGATGCGAGCAGCGTGCTGGGCGAAGCGCCCCTGCCCTTCATGCGTAGGCGGTCATGCAGAGATGTCTGGCACCTCTGCCTTCTGCTTGTGCTTAGGTCAAGACTTGACATCAGACAAGAGCACCTAGGAAGTTGGGGGCTCGGAGGCTCATGCAGCCGTTTCATGCCAGAGCTGGGCAGCAAGTTCTCACAAGCCTAGGTGGCGGCCTCTCCGCGCAGGATGTGGCCGCCCGCTTCGGCGGTTCCAGGCTTAGCGAGGCGCGCCTTGGAGTTCGAGGGATCGCCACCGCCCCCTTGCGCACATGCGTGTGGGTGTACAGCGATCCACTGCCTTGCAGCCAGCTTTCACGTAGCACTAGCTGAGGAGGGGGGCAGAAGGCTTTGCACAGGCAGTTGCGCAGGCATAGAAACCGCCAACACTCTCCTTCGGGAGTTTGCACATGAACCATCATTGCAAAGATCCTTCCGGGAGGAGCAACGACATCGTGGCTCGCTGCTGCGTGCAGCCCGGGCCCTGGTTTTTTCGGATTTGCGGAAAAAAAAAGAAGGGCTTTCCAGGGTCTTCCATGGGTCCATGTGAGGCTGAGACCACGCTTGCGTGCCTAGATGACCGCGTCTCCGAGCCAGCGCTGACAACACCCGGCGGAGAGCTGGGCCTGCGCCTTTGTCAAACTCTGCCGGGAGGGACGCGTTCTGCTAAGCTACTTCACTAGCACGAAGCGGCATTGCCTTCTCATCGCTTCGGAGGCGAGTTCACCACGGCCCTGGCGGCATATCTTCAAGAGAAGGCTTGCAGAAGTACCTGAGTGAGAGAGCTGTGAAGAACAGATTCGGTTGCGAGCAAGCACGCGCCCGTGCTAAGTCCGTCAAACAAAGAGCTAGGCTTGTCGAAAGAAAGCCGACTGAACCAAGTTGTTTTGCATTGCACAAGCCATGTGGCCGACAATTTTGGATTTCGGATTCAGGGAACGGCATATAGAATATAGTATTCCTATCCACAGGTCTTTCAGCTGCACTGCGGCGTTCAGCCTTCGTGTGCATGGCCATCAAAGACCTTTGAGAATTCCCTTGCAGGATGGGTCTTCTGGAAGCCCTCCGAACCAGGAGGTGGTGACAGCCTCGGAAGCCCAGCAGCCAAATTGCGTTCTTCATCGCGCACGGCTCGGAGCCAAGGTGGATTCACTTCTGGGCAAGTATCTGGACACGGTGCTTCCGTGTAACTATCAGACGTTTTGGCGACAGTGCAGCATGACATGCTGAAGCTGAATCGCAAACGTTGTTCGGCACAAAATAGGAAAGTGTTGTCTGCGAAGTGAGAGCTTTCATGGAATCTTGGCATGCGGTCATAGGGCAAGGTGCACGCATCGGGGCACCTACACGTACACGTGTGAAAGGTTCACAGCACACCCCAGTACTATACTATTCTGGCGGTGTTTTCAGAATGCGACTCCCGGCCTAAGATTGCTGAGATTGCCATGGGCGCGCACTGCTCATGCTGATGCGACATGGTCTACTGCTACTTGTGGAGATCTCGTTCGCAACAGCCTTTCGCCCGTCGCTGTTGGCCCGCGGCAATGCCTCCGTTGCGGCTGCTTGGCGATGCCGCCAATGTATACCAATGTAATAACCAACGAGGACACTCCACCCACGGAGTGTCTAGTCGGTCCGAGCATCTGCCATTCAAGGAAGTGCTGCCACCGCCAGCACCTCCAGTGGCACCGCCTTGTGTAGCAGCTTGGGCGCACAAAGGCACTTGTGGCTTTTGCTTTCTTGTTTGGTCTCGCGTTTGGTTATCCGGCGGACGAGCGGGTAAGAGAGATGGTCTCTGCAGCAGGTGTTGGTCATGTGCACCTGATTTGGTCCTGACACCTCTACCACAAGGGGGCAGGGCGCGCTGGCCAAGCACAACAAGCCAGAAGCAGTTCAACAAACAGCAGCAGCCCGAAGCCGGCTGAGTGCCAGGAAAGTCAGCATTTCCTGACAAAACCGGGGGAGACGAACGGCTAACCGTGAAAAACACTGGACGACCGCGTGAGGAGGCACGTCGAGGCCTCCACTCTGGATGCTTTAGGCTCCGGCACGTCGGCATTGAGCTTTGGCAAAGCAAAGGTTTGCATCAAGCAGGCTCGGCATTCGACGCCTTTTCAGTCTGCCACTTGCCAGCACAATGCGTGCGGCTGGACAGTTCTGGCATGTTCGAGTTGCTTGGGCAGACATTTGCCTGCCGCCATGTCCTCACACATGCAGGACTGCACATCCGGCAGCATTTGCACGTTTTCGGCATTGTTCTGCCACATGAGGCCACGGTGATCCAGACCCCCCGAAAATTCCAGCCCACGCTGGAGAATCTCCGGCGGATGCTCGAGCAGCTTGGCAGCATTGCCTTGTCGAGGGTGACGTTATTTTGATAGGTTTCCGCCAAGGCTCGGTGCCTTCACCTTGGCATGCTTCTGTGTTCTGCAGTGGAGGGCTTCAGCGACGACGACCAGGCGCGATGGGTTGCGGGGTGCACGCTTCGTGACTGTAGGAGTGGCTAAGTGGCTGACTCCTCACGGCTCCTGTTCCCGGAAGACTATAAGGCTAGACCTAAACCTCAACAGGCTTAAGTTAGAGTACTCGTAGCTAGACGTCCTTGTTCTCAAGTCTTCGAGCGCACCCAGACATGCCCTCATTGCGTTCAAGATCTGGGAAGGCTCAATCGAGCTGGTGTATCCGAACCCTAGCCAGGTTCATCGCGAGCCCTTACTGTCAAGTTTGAACAGAGTTGCATAATGAACGGTTTGGCGGCTTGGCTGTCACCGAAAACCCCTCAAGTCGAAGCCGTGCTGTACCCCATACCTCTAGCCCAGCCTAGAGTCCCTGAGCCCACCTTGCTAAACTGAAGCGGATTCTCGCCACTGATGTGTAATTGTCTGAAACAGCGTCCACAATTGGGTGATGTGTATTCTCGCGCGCCGGCGCGAGATAAACCTTCTCGCGGCAGCGCGTGGTGCTATTCTTTGCATCCGCAAGCCGTAGACACCATGCAGCCATGCACATGATCCCTCAACTCTGATCCGTCTGAGCTTGCTTTCGCCCAGTCCGCCCATTCAAAGTCCACACCTTGACCTCGATGCCTCGCTCACCGTCTGTGGTGTGGGCCGGTACCAGCTGACCATCGCGCTCCCGGGCAGGAGAGAGGATAGGCGGGTGTCGCCGCTTTTTGGATCCACCTGAGCTTTCTTGCGTCTGCGGCTGAGGCTGGCCATCATGCTCGCTTGGATGGCTGATGGTGCGGAGAATGTGCTACTTCACAACATGTCCCCTCACCTGGTAGATGCACTGCTGCCCGGCAGCAAGAAGCTCCTGAGTAGGGGAAGGGTGGTGCATTGGGGCAGCTCGGAGTGCACTGAGTCGCCTAATGCCGTGGTTCTTGAGGGATACAGACGAGATCAGCTTGGCCGACCTGCGCATCTTCAGCCACGTCGCCATGGCTTGCTCAGCATTCCTCAGTGGGTCCTGCGCAGACAGCTCCTCGACTCCAGACATCTCGAGACTTGCAGTTTCTTGCAGAGCTTTGCACGACTGGAACTTGTGTCTCCACTTCAGGCTTCGGTCGGCGTCCTGTCTTCTGTATCTCATGCTCCCTGGCTCTCATCACCTCTATACCGAACGCTGTTGCCATATGTTGCCATTTGAAAAGGTTGAGGCTCAGACTCAGGTTAGATCCGGCCTTGTGCAAAACAAGGTCTTCTGGCTGCCACGTTCTCCTTGCTTTCCATCTTTGCACCTGCTGCTGGGCTCAGTCTGACATGTCAGGAGCCACTATGGGCCACTGCGGGTTGTTGAATACGCTGAAACGCGGAAGTGGTACTAAACGGAATAGTCGGGTGCTTTCTGGCTCCAGTACCCATCCGTTGTTTGCTTCTCGCCCAGGTTTTTTGGATATTCTGCCTTTGTCGCGTTCTGACCGGCGTCGGCTTGGGGGCTCCTTGGATGCACCGCGCTTTGAGCCCTCGCCGCTTCTACCATTGGAACGGCCTCTGCCTTGCAGGCCCTCGTCGGGACGGATGTAGCACTGCTTTGTGAGTTCTTGCCGGTGTCGAAGCGAGAGTGGGTGGTCCCGCTGCTCGGCCGGGATAGGTGGAACCCGAGTCCTCGCCTAGACAAGACACAAGAAAGCATGCACCCGAGGTTCCTGTACGTGGGTGGCTTGGTTTACTTTGTCCTAGCCGTCACTTGAGAAAAGTCGCTGGTCGACTGCAAGGTTTCGAGATTCCCAGCCTGTGATCAAGCAAGTGCTGTGGCTCTAGGATATGTTGTGGGACGACTCTACGCAGACTTCTGCACTGCCAAAGTCTACCCGCTGGTGGAGAACTGGCGCGGCTTGGATGCACCCGACGAGTTGTCGCAGCACAATGTAACTCCCCTTGGTCCTCGAGGGTGCAACTTCAAGCTGGTTTGAACGGTCTCAGTCCTAGCACTCTTCAATCTTTGGAAGAAGATATCCCTCATTGACTGCCAGGTGCCCCATTCCTTCTTTGCAGTGTGCCACTGGTGCCTTCTTGCCTTCTGCGCTTCGGCCTGCACGAGACGCCCCAGGCCCTCCTTGCACGAGGCCGGCATCGCCCTCAGAGTGGCTCGCTGCAGAGTTGAAAAATCAGACATTCTCTTCTCGTGCAAAGAGGCTTAGTCGGCCACGCCAAGTTTGTTCTCACGGCAGTGGCTCAGACAAATGCTAGTGTGAGGAGTGCCGGGCCAGCACTGCAGTGGGACAGCATTAACTCTCCAGCTCCGAGTTTTTCCGCAGGAGCACCTCCTGCGTCATCACCGGTGGCCGACCGGTCAAGCAATACCAGGGCCTGGACTTCCGAAATTGCCTCAATGCGGGCTTCCTGGCCGCCCTCCGACAGAACCACCTGGAGCGAGTGTGCCTCGCCTCTGAAAAGTATGATGACGTCCGCACTTTCCTCGCTAGGACCAGCTTAGCTCCGTTAGCTCCGTTTCTTCTGAGGTTGGCTGTCTCCGTCTTGGCCGTGGCTCTGGCACTCGGGAGGCTCCTGGATTCCGTCACGCCCGAGCTCCAGGCACGGAGGGGCATTTCATTGGTCTGTAAATCTTGGGCCCTGGGCTGGCCTGAGTTAAGAGGCGCACTTCAACCTGCACGGCAACTCTTTTTCCAGTCCGGTGCCACTTCGAAGCAAGCAACGCAATTGTGCCCTTGCGAGTGAGTAGCTTCATGTTACATGTTGCTCCCAACCCGCCATCCAAGGTGGTTCGCTGTTCTGACCTGTTTGTGGTGTGCCTTGAGCATCGGGATGATGCAGACGGGCTTCCTGGCCTGGGACATCTTCATTGGAGGTTGCCTCATCTCGCAAGGACCGGCCATGACCTGCTGAGGGCCTACTCAGCTTTGGCACAAAGTCATGGCATGCTGGCCGCTGCACCGCAGGAGTGTTGCTGGCCTTCTCTTATCTTTGGCAGATCGCATCGTGCATCTGGCATGCTGATCGTGCATTCGACCAGACAGATCTTCAACCCAGCTGTAACACTCATGCAGGATTGCCGAATAGGCTTGTTCGAGCACGTGATTGTCAAATTGCATTGCCAGGCCGGGCTGGAAGAGCTTCAATTTGCTCCTTGCTGCGTGGGCCATCGCTGAGGGCATGACGAGCACCCTGTCCTGTCAGATACATACAGATCCTGTTAGAGATCTCGTGCCGTACGAGATGGGAAGCCAAGGGGAGGTTGTTGCACTTTGAGACTTTGGGCTCATACTCAGCATCCAGACGGCCAAGGTACGCCGTTCTACGCCATCTGTGCCGGATGCCCGTTGCGTTGGTCAGTCTTGGTACCTAGGGTTCCTGAAGGATGCTAACGGGAGTCGCCTGGTGCCGAGCTCGTTTGAGTGGCGAAGGTCCGGATGTTCCCGGAGAATGCGCGTGCGACTTCCATGGGACTTGTGGACGCCTTCTTCAGATCAGTGGGAGCCTCAGAGGCCTTCAGCAAGGCAAGGCAAAGGACAAACCGGTCATGCAAGCAACTCGCTGCAGACTGTGTCAGGGACGGGTGTTCGTCTCAGGTCGTGGCACTTCAACCCTTTCTTGCAGCGGACCTTCTCAGCAACCTTGGGACAGCTCTGACGGCTGCTGTGCTGGGGGCTTGCTGGCACCTGCCTGAGCACACAATCTCAGATTCCTTGATTGGATGGCGCCCATGCGGACTTTAGCCAACGTTCTGCGACATGCTTCCCATCACTGCGAAGAATGAAACTCGGCCGCGCTGATCCGCGCTGGCCGCGCTGAGGCTCTTGGCGGCGGCTCTGGCTCTGCTTCTGCGCCGCCTCTGGGAGGCCGAGGGACATCGAGGGACATAGGACGCGGATGGACGCAGACGCATGCCCGGCGGCCTCTTCAGGCGCCTCCTCAGCCCGAGGAAGTCGACGTGTCCAAGGCTGGAGAGCAGATTTGTGCGTACTTTCGGGGAGCTATCGGGCTCAAGAAGCCCCAGCAATGTGCGTCGCATCGTTGTACCGCTTTGCAGAGCTGCCAGGCCTGACTTGCGCGAGCAGCTGAGCTCACCCACGTTCGGACCAAGCGAGCGCTTGGCTTTCTACGATGTTCTATGCCACCGTAGATGTGTCCAGATCATCCGAGTGGACAACTGCCCCAACGTGATATTGCGAAATATTGCGAAGGGCAAGTGTGTCGACTGTACCATAGACCGCCAGTTTCACATTGCTCAGTCAGTCTGGCAAGCCGCTTAGCAAAGAGCATTCAGCTCGAGGTCCGAAAGCAGTGCAGAGAGCTTGGCAGGTGCCGGCCTCCCGACCAATTGTCTTCTGCACAGATGAGAGGGCTGGGGGCTCAAAAGGAGCTGGGAGAGTCTGTCGAGGATCCGGGAGCCCGAGGCTTTGAAGCAAATCGCTTCGGAACTGCCGACGGCCAACCTTGATCTCAATGCCCGAAGTCCCAGGGCATTCAAAGCTCACAGTCACTTGATACTCCATCATTGCTCCGTGTCGAGGCGTGCTTGAGTTCTGAGGCACCGAGCCCACACCTGCAAGCGGCCGGGTTGCTCGGACCTCAGCCCTTTGACAGAGCCTAGGGCAGATGCTAGCGAATGCTTCTGCAAGAGACATCTCCCCAGGTTAGAGAAGCTCACGGAGCCCGAGAGCCAGGGCGATAGCCACTTCAGGCGGCATGGGCGGAAGCTCCAAGGTGAAGTGGGAAGGGTGACTTGCAGAGCTCTGAAAGGCTGCTTCTCGAAGACCCCGGCCGGTAATTGCCTTGGCTGCCTTGGCTGCGAATTGCAAGTCTTTTCCCGCTTGGCCCTCGCTGAGGTATGAGCTGCATCCACAGCTTGCGCCGATGGTGCTAAGGGCGTTTTACCGCCTGTTGTGGCTGCAAAATCAGGACTGAAATAGTCGGTCCTTCCGATTTCCAGGGTGGTAGCATTCGGCACGGTCGGAACACGGCATGGAGCCTGCCGCGGTGGAGGATCTTGGCCGGCGCGCCAGGCGACCGGGGCGGTTGCTTTCAGTAGGATAGAAATCAAACTACTGCTCGACTTTCTGGGCATCTTTTGATGTCAGTCCGAAGCTTCGGCTGCGCGTTCTCAGCGGCGAGCCCGACCCGCAGGTTCATGGGAACTTGGACGATCTTGCTTCGGCTGTGAAGATCATGTTGTCAGGCCTTCCTTGATGTCTCCTGCCAAGGGCGGTGGGGACCTCGGCAATGTCGCTGTTTCAGGTTCCTGCCAAACAAACATGCAAGTCGTTCTTCATCAGTCTGGCTTCCCTTCGCATTAGTGCAAGGGCTTGCCACGATTCGCTGGCTGCCGTTGCTCCCAACGCAGGCAAGGGCTGCCATCGTAACACTCAACCTCCCCCGGCACTCGTCCCCTCCGCATCATGTACTTCTTCCCGTATTACCAGTCGGTAGACGATCGGTCTAGTGTGTGCAACAGATCTCCTCAATGTACAGCTTCTATACTGGAGTTGAACTTGTTTGAGGCTTCGTTGTGTCATGATGACAATTAACTCTTTTGCTAAGTTCTGACATATTACGTCACCTGGCCCCTCGGCTTCTTGGGCTTCGCAGCTTCTTTGCTTCCTGGCTTCTCGGCTTATCGTCTTTCGCCGTATTTTAGAGTGTGCTATTCCACCGGCATGGTAGTCAAGGAGGATGTCTCTTGGTTTATCATGCGCCCCAGAAGACGAACTACGCTGTGGTGGGACACGAATCGTACCCCAACATACGCACGAGGGTGTGGTCAGAGGAGGATTGTGTGCACGCCTACCTGCGCAAACCGTTTTTTGGAACCACGATTGCCAGTTGCCGCAAAATATAAACCCATCAGAGCGGTGGGATTTCGACAACAAGTTGGCGCTCGCGAAATTGATGAATCGAGCCGCAGTGCTGTGTGTGTGTACTGGGTGGAAATCGTTCTCCGGCCACAGTTCCGAACAATTCCCAAACATCAGTCAGGCAGAAAGGGAAATCCAAGGTTTGAACGACAATGTGTCACACAGCACCACAATGATGCCATGCTGCGCATGTATAGCGGCTATGTTCGAATCAGCATATTCAGAAACCACCAGTCCATACAATATTATACGCATGACGTAATAACCGCAACCATTTAGCCATCCAGCATGATGGCCATCCCTGGGCAGCGTCCTTAACAGGATCATAACCATCACTGCTGCCTGCACCGTCGTCGTTGTCGTCCCTTCCTTTCGTCGCTGCTGCTGTCGTTCCTTTTGCTGCTGTTGCTGCTCTTTGTTGCTGTTGCTGTTGCTGTTGCTGTTGCTGTTGCTGTTGCTGCCGGTGCTGGTGTTGCTGCTGCTGCTGCTGCTGCTGCTGCTGCTGCTGCTGCTGCTGCTGCTGCTACTGCTTCTGTTGCTGTTACTGCTGGTGCTGGTGTTGCTGCTGCTGCTGCTGCTGCTGCTGCTGCTGCTGCTGCTGCTGTTGCTATTGCTGTTGCTGTCGCGGCTGTTGCTGATGCTGCAGTTGTGGTTGTTGTTGCTGTTGCTGCTGTTGCCGTTGGTGTTGCTGTTGCCGTTGCTGTTGCTGTTCCGGTTGCTGTTGGTGTTGGTGTTGGCGTCGTCGTCGTCGTCGTCGTCGTCGTCGTCGCTGTCGCTGTCGTCGTTGCTGTTTGTTGTTGTTGACGCTGTTGCGGTGGCTGTCGATATCGCTGTCGCTGCTGTTGCTGCTGTAGCTGCTGCTACAGTGCTACTGCTACTGACATGTCGTACCAGAAGCAGCTGCACACACTCAAAATCTGGGTAGATTCGTGCTGCTATTAGCAGTTCAGGCGTGTGTTCATATGGTCGTATTCTTACAGCTGATGGCTGCAGCTGGACCAGGCCCCGCCCTCACGTCGCAGCTGGAGGCGGCGCTTCCGCGGCGGCGTAGCCTTGCTGCCTTCTTTTCCCGCGCGCCAGGGTCCTGAGCAGCGAGCCGGTAGTGGCACGACAATGTGTTACATTGTGTTGTGTTCTGCAGAAAACTGGGGAGCACTTGTTTGGCCGTAGTGGCTTGCATGCTGTTGTGGCGTTTAACGGAGGTCCCGGCAAGTCAGCAAGTAACTGAGTTCAACTTGTTCTGCCCGTGACAAGCAACACACCCCCGCCCCGACACTGAAAGCAAAGCGCCCCCCCCCGGCAGTTAAAACAGTGCCGAGCTCGTGACAGCAAACAAACAGTGTCCGCACTGCGAAGACGTCGTCACCACCGAAATAAGCAAACATGCTTGCCCCATAGCAGCCAAGAGTTGCAGAAGCCTCAGACCAAGCCGCGTTAAGCCCTGAAGTTCTACACTGAGCACTGAAGTTAACAGCGCTGATCACACCTGACCTACGTTTCGATCCAGGTCGCGGTCAACTCCACGCAAAGTCAGCGAGCAGAGTCTTCTGGAGCGTCTTCGCCCCAGCCTCCCTTCCAGTTGCACTGTTTCTATGACCGTTTTGACCATTATTCATGTCATGTCTGTTCATTTTCAATATCAACATCACGAAGAGTGACTGTCAGCAACAGAACCTCACCCTTGCAGATCAGTCTGTCCATTTGTCTGTCTGTGTGTCTCTCTCTCTCTCTCTCGCTCTCCCCCTGTGCTCCGGCAGGCATTGACCAGTTGGCCCTCCTGGCGCTGGAGAGCACCGGGAGCCGCATCGCAGCGTCTTGCTGAGAGATCGGAAAGCAGTCGTAGCTGAAAGCTGATTGTATGTAGGGCTGGCTCTCCAAGAAATGGTCGCAAATGGCCTTCGAATGTTGCAGGCACCATTTCCCTTAGCCTCATCCGACTCAGCCCCGACAAGATTTTTAAGCTGACCCGTCCACTCTCAGTCGGTGAACCTCGCTCTCCATGAAAGAGCTCCCTCAAAACATCTCAGAACCAAGAGAATGTCATGCAGGTATCCACGGTCATTAAGTCCGCGCGAGGTCTAAGTCCAAGTGTAGCAATGCCATGGGAGCTTCTCTTCGCGCCAGCGCCGCACTCCTTGCATCCGCGGAGATGGAGCTGGACGTGGTCATCGTAGGCGATCTTTGATGGGTTTGGGAGCAATCATTGTGAAGGGAGTTTTTTTCAGAGACCTGTCTGCAGACAGCCGAATAAGAGAAGCGCCTGAGGCAATGGGCCCAGCGGCCTCGCTCTGAGATAGCGCCAGATAGCGACAAGTTGGAGCTCACACCCGGAAAGAGTCAGACCTGTGAAGCACGATCCTTGTGCAGCTTACCTCGCTTCTCTCGCCCAGGCTTGGCTGTCGCCTCGGCGCTGAGTGGCTTGGTGCCGCAGGTCCATGAACTGCTTCAACGTTTCAATAAGTTCAGCTCTTTCAAGACCAGCATGAGCAGCAGAAAGTGGTTCGACGAGGCTTCCAGCGAGCGCACACTAATTGCTAGCCTGTTCTGGAAAATAGGTTGCCGTGGCTGCGAAGCGCATTTCGGATCCTGCGGCCCGGATCCAAGTGGCCGACTGATCGACAACGGATGCGCATGCTGCATGTTTTCAGCGCAACGTGAAGTCCTGCATGTATGAACCAGATGTGTGAGTGGATGTACGACCTAGGAGAATTTCTCATGTTGTGTCTGTGCTCCTGCCGCGAGTGTGCGCGTGTCTAATTGTGCTGAAGCGGAGATTTATGTCTCTACGTTTCTGCGGATGGACCTCCGCAGTACAGGTGTGCAGATGAAAATATCGTGACATGCATGCCGACACATACACACCCACGCAGTCACCTTAAGCCCCGGCGTGGCTGGCATGCGGCAGGAGTTAGTGAACAGTGAACAGTTAGTGTGCACTTGTATGCAGTGTATATACATAATGCATAGACAGACAGATCTGTGCAATACATGTCAGCGTGCCTATAACTTCTCGCCTAGGACTTTGATGTCCTTTCTTCATGCTTACACCTTCTCATTTACCAAAGACCCTGCAGTTATATCTGGCACTAATATTGTTTTATACTGTTTGGGGTATAGCTCAGGTTGGACAGGCGGCCGCGAAGCTCTCCGGCAAAACTCTCGACGAGGTCCTGTGGGGGTTCAGAAAACAGATCGCGGATTCTTGCTCCAAGTAGTCAGAGACGAGGGTCGTGGGGCCTTCGAGTTTGCAGGTGAGCTTGGACACCCTGGCTGCAGGGATCCAGCGACGCTGCCTAAACCCCACGGTACCCGGCCAGTTCTTGTGGGCCTTGCGAGTGCCTGTCAGTGCCCGTGCAGAGGAGCTAATGTCACGTCATGAACGCCTGTTGCTCGCTGGACGGCTCACTGACAGTACATTGAGGTCAACGTTCAGTTAGCCGGCATAGTTTAGCTGCAAAGTTTGATAGTTTGACTCTTCCAGTCAGCTTTGTGGATGTGTGGCCAATCTTGGCTTGGGAAGCCTCTAGTGATTAGTGGTGCGGCTTGGCCGGCTTGGCTCGCGAGCACCATGGCTTCGCCAGATCTGCATCTTGTGCTCGGTACCATCTATCAGCAGCCGAAACTTGGACTGCTTCAGCAGTCCTTGTGCTAGCAACTACCAAAAGAGTTAGTGCATGATATGAGAGCTCCAGTCTCTGATGTGGCTCATATCATAGTTCTTGTTATGTGATTAGACTGGTATCTGTGGGAACGAGCATTTCATAACAGCATTCTTGTTTTATTGCACTGTTCTGCTATTACATTCAACGTTGAACTAAAGCTTCGAGATGCGAGCTTTGGACTGGTTGTGGAACCGCCTGGACATTCTACAAAGGTTCTTAGTCTTCTTTGGTGTGGCGCTGATGTGGCTCCAATGTGAGCTTACGATCCCAAGCTTTCCGGTCAATCCGTTCCAGCTCAACCGCAAGAAGAAGTCGGAGCAGGCATTGCATGTCCATGCTGCACTCTTCTTTCAATGACCGTAGTGATTGGAGACTCTCGTGTAAGCACCCGTCCCCGCTGTAGCGTGGCATCGGCCATGGACAGGACTGCGACAAGAAAGCTCTGAATGCCCGCGTGGACGAGAAGATGGCCCAAATCGAGGTCGCCCGGGGGGGGGGAAGGACTTGATCTATCTGACTATCTCTCTTGGCGCAGGCCGTATGCCGGTGGGGAGGTCTATATATGTCCACAGCATTAGATCTTCTAAGTGGAGTTGGCCCTGGGACCTTAGGCTTCCATCTGGCAAACAGCCTCGCGGTGCCTGGTACATCTTAACTTCATTTCTTTGCTGGTGGCCACGGTGGACTACCAAATCGATCCTGGCTTCACGCGTTTGATCTTTGTCGCGGCTCTTGCCGTCCTTAACATCCTCTACTTGCGGGGTGCAGTAGAAACACTGGAGCAGACTCGAACCCGAATTCGCAGTGTTTGCGTGGTGATCCACTGCGTTGGCGTTCTGGTCAATGCCTCCTGTGCTTGGGAAAGCAAAGAGGATTACCTGGGACGCTCCGGCATCTGCGAAATTGGTCAGATTGTGATAGTGCCCTGGCGTTACACGTGCTAAGGTCAGGCTGCAGTCAGAAAGAGCTCCGGGTGCAAATCTGTTCTGTGCGCTGAGGCTTTGATCTTCCCGATGCAGAGGATAACGTCAGCTTTCGCGGTGGCATTTCTCGCGGCAAATGTGTTTGCCGCACTCGGTGCGTGTGGCCCAACTGCTATCACCGGCTGGTTTGTCGTGCAACAGCTCGTGCAGATTGGTGTGGTGGTGTCGGTGCCGGTCGTCATGCGGAGTGTTGTGCGAGATCATGTCAAAGCATCCTGCGAGTCGCAAGACTCCGATTCGCTTGCGTGTCCTGGCAGAAATATCATGCTCTCCAGCTGTGTTTGCTGCTGTGCTATGCATTGCTATGCTCTGGGTGTCCTCTGAGGGAAGGGTAGACCGTCGCCGAGGAGTGTAGGTGCGGGCCAAGTACACGTAGCGCTAATCCAAAGCACGCAGTCTGGTGGTGGCGAAAGGCCCAATTCGCCTCAAGCTTTGGGGTACTCGGTGTTGGAAAAGCCTCGTTGAGTTTGACTCCGTGACGAGTATGTGGAGCCTGCGGCGCCTGATGCGATGCAGCTCGAGTGGGCGGTGAGGTGGTAGTGGAGACCCACCTTCCCCGCTCCCATCACGCGGATCAATCGAGTTGCTCATGCATGCACTTGAAGGTAGCCACCATTTCTAGTACCAGCACACGGCCATGCGAAAACAGTGATCCTGGCCCGGGGTGGGCTGTTGCCTTGCTACTCGTAGGGATGTTTCCAGGGTCAAACTCGTTGAATGTGTTGAAACATGGGCCCAACCACGATCCTAGCACTTTCTCCTCGTCATTTGTTTGGGAGGGTGCTGATTTCTTGCGAGGGAGAGGAGGCGGTCATGATTCCATCTTTCTCGCAAGCTTCCTACCTGGTGGTAGCTATTATGTGATTCCAACTTCGACATACTCAGGACGGCATTGTCTCACGTGCTTAAGGGTGTTTCGGACGGACATCTTCTCTTGGACAGCAACTTCAAGATTTGTGGAGATGCCAGCTGTCTGCAGCGACTGCTGCGAACGCATGACAACTTCAGCGGACGCAGTTTTGTGGATCTGGTGGCCGGGGCTCCGTCGCAAAAGCCGTTTGCCAAGTTCCTCGCTGAAGGCGGAGAAGTTGAGGCCAATGGCGGCATGCCACATTGCTCACGGGTGCATCTGTTAGACGGAGCAGGTGAGCATGTGCCGGTAGATATCGTTCATGCAGTGGTGCCCGAGCTCTACGGCACCGGCCGCACCGCGACCCACCACTTGCTAGTCATGAAAGAAGATTCTGAGGCCCGAGGCCCGTCTCCGTCTCAGAGTCCGGTGTGGGAAAACTTGCCGAATAGGCAAGACATCCGCAAAGAAGCTATAGCAAGCAACGAGAGAACGAGAGAAGAGATCCTCCATCCTCTCCGTCAGATTTCCGAGATGACGCTGCTGGTCAACGCTAGCACGGAGCTCATCGAGATAGAACAAGCCGTGATACAATGTGCTCCGAATGAAGAAGAAGATGCCACAACGCTTGGAGTGCCGAACTTGCATGGCTGGACGTGCCCGTCGGAATGGCATGCAGTCAAATCCAAGCTCCATCAAGTCGCTCGTGCTGTAGGTCAGTCCCGACGGCCCAAATCAGCAACGCTGCCATCAATATCATTGCATCTTCCAGGCGACGTCTACCTGCGAGCAAGGAGTGTTTCAATCAAGCCTGCTTGCACGGGCATCGTCCAAGAACAGGAACCTGCCCTTCTGCATCTCGGCTGCACGCCCGGAGCGAAGGGTGCTTTTGCTGAAGCCATCATGATCGCTGTCTCCTAAGGTACTTGCACCTCAGCAAGTTCAACAATTGCCGCCAAAGGCGGTTGACGGAGTCTCAAATCCAGGGACGAGCCGAAGCTGTGAATGGTGACACATGGGGCAATGCCCTGTGTAAACCAGAACTGTGAGTACATCTTCGGCTCAGTACATCCTTTGAGACAAGCTCCATACCCCCGTGCCCCAAGTGAATGCATTAAAACTGGATCGAGCAGTGTCAGTGTGTGCGGATGTGTACAGCCGCTGAAGTCGGGCACGCTTCCTTCAGCAAGCGAGCAGCTGTGTTGTCGCAAGTATCTACGTGTCGCAACGTGGCCAGGCTGCGTTGGTCGATGCTCTGCGATATCCAGAAGGCCGAAACACACGCACAGACACAGCCCCACAGG